GCAAAACCCGTAAAGGGTTCGATGGTTATGTGGCGTAACTTGCATAAATCTTTGGATCCCGACAGACGTACTTTGCATGCCGGCTGCCCTGTAATCAAGGGCACCAAGCAAAGTAAGTTCTCATATAATTTATACATAAAATCCATAATATCTTCATTTACTTCATAGTTTGCAACATTTGGGTGCATTCTGGTTATCAGGAATTCAGTCATCCCTGTGGCTTAATACGTGACAACTACAAATCGGCTCATATATGATAGAAGTAGAAAAATATATGGTATACCTATACATACTCTACATGCATATGTATATTGTAGAGAAGTTTAAGTAATTCACTTTTGTTTCTGAGTAAGCTAATGAATATGTCCATAAAATACTTAAAAATTATCTCATGTACTTGTATATATTTGTACACTTTTATTTATTTTTTCTTTACACACATGGGAACAGAAAACAGTCATACAAAAGTAAATACATATGTACATACTCATATCTATGGTATGTGTTGGTATTGAAAATTATTTCGGTTTAATTTAAAAAATCGCCGAAAAACAGCATCATTACTCGTACTTCAATCAATATAAGGAAAGATATATATATATATATATATATATATATATACCTATATTACAGATATAGAAACATATAATAAATATATAAGAAAAGCACACAATGCGACCCCTCTCTCGCAACATGTTGCATAGAGTTTGAAACTGTGGTTATACTAGTATTACCATCATAAAAGGCTCTAAGTTTGAAAATTCGGTAAAATCGGACCACAACCACGCATACTTCCTTTTTAAACATTGAAATATATAACTGATATAATCAACAAGAAAAAAATTAACTTGGGTTTCACCGATGCTATAATACCCTTCGCAAGTAAAAAAAAAATTCCTCACAAGAACTTGATTTTAATCGGTCAGTTTGTATAGTAGCCAAGTATATGCTATAGTGGTCCGATCTGAAAAATATATTCGGAAATTGTTATGTTGCCTCGGACAATTTCGTGAAGATATCTTGTCAAATAAAAAAGTTTCAATTCAAGAACTAGATTTTTCAGTTCGGTTTATATGGCAGCAATATGCGATAAGTGTCCGAAATCGGCGATTCCGACAATTGAGCAGTTTCTTGGGGAGAAAAAGACGTGTGTAAAACTTCAGATCGATATTTAAAAGCTGAGGCACTAATTGACGTATAAGTCGATAGATATCGAATATTAAGTCATGAATCTACATTAGACTAAAACGTAGTCCATACATATAAATTAAAAACGGAAGTAGCTCAAATAGGTATCTAGTGTCTAATTCCACACTACTGCATCAAAATATCTCAAGTAACTACATTGAACATTCTTAAAGAAAGAACTGAATCTTTAGATTTAAAACAAATTTTAAAGAATTCGTTTCGCTAAAAGAAAAGAGATTAGTTTCGCTTCAGAGTTAAATATAGTAAGAGGGGCCGGTTTATTTTGACTCTGATATTGTGCTGAACTTCGAAAATTAATGAGTTCGAAAACTAAATGTTGGCATCAGGTAATCCAAAGTTTAGTCTATATTTTCGTCTAACCTTGATTGCTGTCGAATTAAAAAAATAGCTCACCTAGTCACTTTAATTTAATTAAAATTTCTAACAAAGCTGAATTGAG